TATCCGGCTCAGGATGCTAGAAAAATTTAATAGATAGCTCACACAATTTGTTCAAGTCTGCTATCTAATGACCCCAAAAATTTCTAGAGGAGCAAAAATGAATACACGGAGACTTCCATAAGTTAGGCGATTCACGTTCTGCCTTACATACTAACAGAGTGAAACACAGCGACCGCTGTGAACACACTACCCTCTGGCTTACGGGTTTGCAGAACAAAAATTATGAGGGAACTTCAAGTGTAGTCCACACAGGACAAGGAAGAAAAGGAAACAAAAGTATCGAAGCAAAATCTATCTAATCAACGTACCTTCAGTTCCACTAATCGATACTTATCAGCAGCGATGAGCAAATCTGTCGCAATATCACCGATATCCTTCTGACACCGACCACAGTAGATGTAGTACACTAGCTCGTAAACTACGTCATAATCCAAATCAGAGATTTCCAACACACCCTGAATTTGCAATGAACATGTGGCAATCTTACGTATCATTACTTAGCATATGATGGTAGCAGTTTGTTATAAATAATTACTGATGATTACTGATCTTTATTATGTTTATTGATGGCGCACCTTGAGTGCATTATAAGTAAATAAATAAACAAATAAATTAACAATCGATTAAATTACTACATTCCGATTGAATGCCTGATCGGGGTGGATGCCAACTAACTTCAAGTCCTCATGCAACGTATCAAGCCAGCGCTGCTTCGGGCGTCCCTTAGGCCGCTTTCCGGGCACGTCAATGTTGAGGCCGATCTTACGGACACTGTCATCATTTCCGCGAAGAACGTGGCCATACCATCGAAGCCGAGCTTCGCGCATTTTATCAGCAATGGGAGCTACACCGAAGCATTTCCGTATAGCATCACTGCATCATTGTATGCGAGCTAATCGTGTGACACCAATTATTAATTTCACCAAAATCATTTCGCCAAAATGGTTCGGTCCATTAGCATTGCCCTTCCAAAGACTTAGTAATCCGTCGTTACTTTAGCACCATGCATTCCAATGAATAAGTTCAAAAAACATTGAATTGTAAATAGACCCACACTCTTCGTTTCGTTCGTCAATTCATGCATCAACATTGCTTGAAACACCGGTGATCTAAAAGAAAATGCATTAAAGTAAAATTGCGCTTGAACATACAGTACCATCATATGAAATGTGCATAATATTACACTGCAGCCAGATGTTCATTAGTTCTTTCATAGGAAAAAACCCTTCGAACTACCTCTCTTACCAGATGGTAATATGGGTGCTTGCTCGTGGGCAACAAACACAACAAACTACTACTTCTCCCTAACCGCAAACGTACTCGAATAATTCCTGCGTACGCAAATATCCTGATTGAAAGAGGAAAACAAAACAAAATGGTTGCCTATGAACCAGATATTTGCATATTTGGCTCTATATCTCATAACACATCCAGCTTCCAACGGCGTCCATAGGAGAAAAAGTGAGAAAACTAGGGAATCATGATGAAAAAATTTTATGTAGCAATCACTAACTTCGATGCCGATGCCTAATTAACTATTCGAAATTTATCTTGTCTCTTCTAACTACCTACTTCTCTTAACTTTGAAGATGTGAAGTCAACGATAACCATTAGATTGGCCTGCTTCTCACTCCCATATTAGTCAGAATATATTTCAGTTTAACGTACTAAACAGTTTTCAATGCGGAGTAATAAACTCCACGAAATTGTATATCGGGCCTCAATGAAGCGATATCGATTGTGGGGTCAACAAATTCTTAACCCATAACGGACGGCCAGTGTATTTGTTGCGTGCGCCACCATGTGGCGCACGCCGCCACCCAGGGTAGGGTTTATGTAGGCTTATGCGAACAGCAGGGTTAAGACGGGGCTAAAGTAGGTGTCCGTGTCTCATCATCCAAAAGAAGAGATTTCCGTTGACGACAACTTCGTAACCCGCCTTTCCGCTTTAAAACTAGGGTGCAAAGAATGAATGGAAGCTGAAAGAAACAACCATGCGATCGACCCATTACTCGCCCTGACCTTTCCAGAAATGAAGTTCATCTTAAGCTCAGAACCCCTTCAGCGCCTTAAAGGAATCTTCCACGGACCATGGACCAGTGGGCGGGACCGGAAGTGGTTTTGCGACGAAATGCATGGTAGGTACGGATCCACGTTCATGGGAAGGTTTGAAGTGAATCCTGTTCACGTTCGTGCGTTCGACACGTGGATCCGTACCTACCATGCATTTCGTCACAAAAACTTCCGGTCCCGCCCACTGGTCCATGGTCCGTGGAAGATTCCTTTAAGCAGACACCCTGTCACCTACAGGACAGGCATTTGAGTTCTAGGCGCCGCAGCATTTCGTTTTCTGAGTGAGGGGAAAATAAACAGGACAAAGCTTGAAAACATAAGCGTAACCGATGAATGTTAGATATAGAAAGTTTTAAAAAATACAAAGAAGAACAGAATAACGAGTAAAAACGCTTCAATCACCTCGCTGCTAGTATAGCACGATGCGCTCGAATTTCCCTTCCACCCACTCGAATCGTGAAATCCGTGAGCAAGTCGTCGCGGAACAGTCGTTGATAATCTTCCACCAGTTGTTGTTCGCAATTTGATGTCTACAAAAGACTATTCTATTAAATGTCCCTATCATTAGTAGAACTCGTAGAACCAGTTTAATGGCTTCTAAAGTGCTGAGCAGCAATAAATGGCCACGATTAATCGAATTGAACCCATTCACGCGAAGGAAAACTCGTCCCACAATTGCTGTCAAAAGAACCAGTTGTTCATTCTAACTCGTTAGAATGAAGCACAGAGTTCAGTCACCATGAAAAAGAACACAACTCGATATTACTGTAACGTAGACGGCTTACTCAATCCACCTCGAAAACAGTAACCGAAAGATTCATAAATGTAATGTTCAAACGGCGGCCTTGGAAACCGAATTTACCATTTCGATTTTTGTCCAATAACATCATTGGACTTTGTCTTCGACTTACTTGAGAACACAATTCGCCTAATGGAGCACCCTTTATGAGAACCCCAAAATAACGATCATAGCCTAGTTTTCTTTGTATCCGACATCTAAGTGCGCCTGCAATGAAGGCTTAACACCAAATACTAATTCTGCAGAACACCAAAAGTACGCATGACGATGCCTCGAAAAAAATCAATCTTACTTGTGATTTTGGGTGCTAATTCCTAATTTATGCTACGTATAAGGAGGTTATGCTTGCAACGCAGACGCACCTGTACCGAAATATAAAAGGCGCGAAGTGACGTGCATGAATCAACGCTTCAAATTCTAACAAAATAGTACGTTGCTGATCGAAGACGTAACATCAGCACACCTTCAATGGTGGTTAGTCGTGCCGTGATTAAGAAAAGGAGCCTCTTCTATGCCCGGTATTTTTCACATTGATGCGACTCTCATCAGCGCTGCCCTCAGCCCATCAGCGCTAACGCTCCTACCGCTACACGGCTAGAGACCTGCGGCGAGTGATCCTGCCGGAATAGCGCCGCGGGATGGCCATGCTAGGTCGCCGGGAGCAACCTTCGCTGGAATCCGCACGTCGGTTCGCCTTGATCTTGCCGTACACTCCTTTAAAGAAGTCGAACATGATTTTGGAGCAGAAACTTATCGCGCTAGTATGACGTGATAATAAAGTGGTTATGCACGTAATGAGAGACTTTGCCAACAGCCCCGGCGACCTCCCTCAATACAAATGTGCGTAGTCCAACAGAAATGTTCCCGCAGCCGGATAATCCCACACACCCCAACATTAAACGATTATAAATATGATGTTGTTCCCAGCAAAATAGAACGGAACGTGAATGTAGTATATTCCCTCATGAGGGCCCCAACAGTTTCTGAACAACTAAGTAAAATTTTGAGAAGCAGTGTTCTCATCTTCCTACCAACTGCAACCAGCGTTCAATCGGGATTAAAACAGTTAGTCTTCAAAAGATTACTACAATCATTGCATTTTTAAAATCAGGTTACCACTACTCGGTTTTGCACTTGACTGATCGGAATTGACTCAGATACGTCTTTCATAATTCGCAACTTTTCATTAACGTACTTTGCATAAATATTGATCAAACTAAAACAGTATTGAAATGCCCTTTACACAGCAGCATTATGTTTAAAAGCCTTCACGTGGTTCGCACGAGAAATCCGTTATTATTCCACTCCTACTCAATGCACGTATCTGGCAACATATATCCACAGAAGCGGTTCTCTGATCAAACCCTGCATCTTTCATCGTCAACCCCCCCCCAGGCCCTCCATCCCGGGCCGGCAAATTGTAACTGAAGTTGTCTGGATGAATAAAATCACTGTCTTCAAGGGCCCGCAAGTCATTGTTTAATCCACTCAGAATGCCACCACAATTCTGAACGGAGGTAGAAAGCGTGGCGCGTATCAAAAAGCGACTGTGCAGCGCCTAATGCCTTATTTTTTACCCCTTCCATTAGACACTCAGCTTTGGAGACCCACAGGAAAATGAATGACCGAATAAAAGTTTTCTTCATTCAACACGACCCTCGTCCACTGACCTTTTCATCTTTTTCTTTGCCCCATCCTTGACACCACATGGAATGCACCGAATTCACCGTCACCTCTAGCTCGACGGTTCTTAAGCATGTCCCATAAACAATTCCTTCAACCTTTAGCCTGACATTTCTGCACTAACTGGTCACAAAGCGATAAGCACGTGGAATGAACACCTTAACAGGATGATAGCATTTTGAAGAAAACCGTGCAGAACAGCCGAACATCCCTCAAATCTCGCGTCCTCCCATTACACATATAATTTGAAACGCAAAAGAGGTATATAGCATACCATTATTGGTTCAGTCGTTGTAGTGATCGTCTCTACAGCAACATCGATCTCAACGTTCACAATAATCAAGTCTCTCGGTAGTATTTGTGGGAATAGAATGTCTCTTTTGATATACGAGACATAATCGGAATGTGAGGGGTTCGGATGAATACGCATCTGAAAAATTCTTTTGAAAGTAGCAGAAAGCCTATTGAGTTCGGTATAAAATAAAGCGAAAGGTCTGCCTTTCAAC